TATCAATAATTATATATTTAGATATTGTTAATTTTTTGTATAGAATACTTTGATTATTTAATTGCAATTATATTATAAACTTTTATGGTATAGGAAAAATGTAGACAAAATTATATTATATTCATAGTTTAAATAATGAATTATTAGTAAATTAATTATATTAAATATGGTATTGAAATTTTTATTATATTTATAATTAAATAATTAAATATATTTATACTAATAATTTAAAATGTTTGAAAACTTCAATTTTTATATGAAAATTGAAGATAAATTAAATTAAATTTATATTGTATTTATATTTTATTAAATTAAAGTATAATAATAATTAATATATCATTATTGATGTATAATTAATCTTATAGAAAAATTAAATTATATTATAATTAAGATATAACAAATTAAATTGTAATAATTAAAATATAATAATTTAAAATTTTTAACAACATATTTTTATTGTATTTTTATTTTATAATAATTAATATATAACAAATTAACTTTCATTATTTTTTTATTAATTATAAAGATCAATTAAATTAGGTATTTTTATAGTTGGTTAAAAGTGTAATTATTTTATTCTAGTATATGTAATTTTAAAAGGTTAAATGCTAATTTTGATCCCTCAACTTTAAGATTTTGCACAATTTTTGTCCCTCAACTTTTTTTGCACTTTTTGGTCCCTCAACTAGGATTAATGTACATTTTTAGTCTTTCCATAAATTAGTTCGTTAAGCTTGTTTACCACATTTGTAGTCCCTCAACTTTTTGAGGGACTAAAAATGTGCTAAACAAAACTAACATACTAATTGATGGAAGGATTAAAAATGTACATTATTCATAGTTGAGGGACCCAAAAAGTGCATAAAAAATTAGGGGATGAAAATTGTGTAAATTTTAAAGTTAATGGACTGAAATTGATATTTGACCATTTTAAAACTTTATTTGTGATTCTAATGGTTGTTATATAATATTAAGATATTATTGAATTTTTAAGGCATATACTACTTAATTATGGAAGGAGACTGGAGTTGAATGTATTGTCATCAAGATGAGATGGGGAATTGGAACAATCAATTTGATGTTAGGGTAGAGATTTTCTTAGATTTCACATTCTCACAAATAGACCCAATGTTTTGTGCATAGAATATGATTTGGTGACCATGTACTAAGTGTTCGAATAGAGAATGGCATCATTGACACAAAGTGCAATCCCATCTTATGAAGAACAACTTTATGGATAGGTACCTTATTTGGAATAGACATGGAGAAATTATTCTTAGAAAATGGCATTGCACCCAAGTGGGTGAATCATCAAGTGTTGTTGCTACTGTTGCTACTGTTATGAATAATGTTCCAAGTGTCGATCAACTCAAAGACATGCTTCATGATGCTAGGGGACCAAATTTTTTTAATAATGAAAATAGTGTCGTAGGGGCAGAAGATACAACACAATTTGATGCTAGTTTTGATGATCCATATGGTGTTAGTATAGAATCGATAGTTGAGGAGCCAAGAGGAGATACAGAAGAGTTCTTTGATCTTTTGTGAGTAGTTGACACACCTCTTTTTGATGGGTGTGATGATGGTGTCATTGTCTTAGAGCAGGTGTGTCACTGTCTTAAAGTGGATGTGTGAGCTCATGAGTGCAAAGACACTTTTTAATATGAGTGTTACTAATTGGGACTATGTGCTAAAAGTGTAGTCTAATGGCCTTCAAAAAAGTTGATCAAGAGAAATTGCCAACAGATTATTATAGTGCCAAGAAGATGTTAAGGCATCTAGGTCTTAGGTATAAAAAATATGATGTTTGTGTGAACAATTGTTTGTTGTACTATGAAGAATTTGAAAGCCAGTGTTATTTAGAGTGCTCGGTATGTGAAGAGCCATGATTTAAGCAGCATGATTACATTCTACTAAACCCATACCAAGAAAGCCTTTGTGGTATCTTCTGATTAGGTTAAACCCTTATTTTGGTCCCTGAACTAAAGAAATCCCTAATTTGGTCCTTGAACTATTGTACGGACCCTTGAGTTGGTCCCTAAACTATTGTATGGATCCTCGAGTTAGTCCCTAAACTATTATACGGATCCCCAATTTGGTCCTTACTGTTTACCAATTTAGCCCCAACTTGGTCCTTCCGTTAAATAATAGCTTAGGGACCAAATTGGGGCAAAATTGTAAATACTAAGGACCAAATTGGGGGTCCGTACAATAGTTCAAGGACCAACTTAGGCCAAATTATAAACAGTGGGGACCAAATCGGGGGTCTGTATAATAGTTTAGGGACCAAATCAGGGATTTCTTTAGTTCAAGGACCAATTCAGGGGTCCGTACAATAGTTCAGGGACCAAAATGGGGATTTAACCTTCTGATTATTCCTAAACTTCATAGATTGTACATGTTTTGGAAAATTGCCAAGCTTGGCATTTAAATTATTGTAATGAAAATGAAAAAAATTTTCATCCTGCATGTGGAGATGCGTGGAAGCATTTTGATTGAACTCACCTTGAGTTTGCTAGTGAACCAAGAAATGTTAGGTTATGTCTGTGCAGCAATGGGTTCACTCCATTTAGACAATCTACATCTCTGTACTCTTGTTGGCTAGTATTTGTGTAAGTTTATAACTTGCCTCCAACAATATGCATGAAGCAGAAGTATGCATTCCTTTCATTGATTATCCAAGGTCCCCAAAGTCCTAGAAGGAATAGTGATGTAATGCTTTGATCACTAATCGATGATTTTAAGCAGGTTTGGTATTTTGGAATCCAAACTTATGACAGCTTTAGGCATCAATACTTCATGATGAGGGTTGAACTATATGGATCATTAATGACTTCACTAGGTATGCCATGTTGTTTGGGTGGAGCACACATGGTAGATTAGCTTGTCCTTATTGCATGGAAAATTCAAAGGCCTTTTGGTTGGAACACAGTCTGAAGGCATCATTTTTTGATTGTCACTGACAGTTTTTGCAACTGGATTATAGGAAGAATAAGAATGACTTCATGAAAGGTCGTATAGAGAATGGAATAATGCCAAAGAAATTGTCTAGTGATGAGATGCATAGTCACATCCCTGGGTTACCTCATATGCTATTTGGTAAGCCACCTCAGAAACAAGAAATCCATGGATTTGGTGAAGTGCACAACTGGGTTAAAAAGAGCATCTTTTGGGAATTACCATATTGGCACACAAACTTGATTTGACACAATTTAGATGTCATGCACTATGAGAAAAAAATTTTTGACAGTATCCTTCTTACAGTAATGGACGGCCCTATAACAAAAGATAACATAAATGCAAGACTTGATTTCGAATTGTATTGTAAAAGGAAAAGTTTGCACATATCAAAAACGTTAGTGAATTCAAGTAAAAAACCGAAGGCTACTTACAGTTTTAGCAGGGATCGAAGAAAATCAATATGCCAATGGTTGAAGGAACTTAAATTCCCTAATGGATTTGCCTCCAATATATCTTGGTGTGTCAATATACAAGAGGCATGATTATTCGATATAAAAAGTCATGTTAGTCACATTTTCATGCAAAGTCTTATGCGAATTGCATTTCGTGATTTATTATCTCAACAAGTTTGGGAACCACTTGTTGAGATTATGAGTTCTTCAAGGCCTTGTGTGCTCCTCTGATTCAGGCCAATGACATGGCAATATGGTAAGAGAGGATAGTAGAAATCATTTGCAAGATGGAGCGAATCTTTCCACCTTTGTTCTTTGATTGTATGGAGCATCTTGTAATCCACCTTCCATTCAAGGCTTGTGTAGGACGATCGGTGCAATTTCGGTGGATGCATCCACTTGAGAGGTAAATATAATTAATTGATAATATATGAGAATAAATATAACTCCATGTATGATATTTCATTGCATTGAGGTTAGAATACCAATTTGGCACTTCAACTTTCAATTTTATATCAAAGCTATCATTGAACTTAAAAATGATTCTAAATGGTCCTTTCAAGGACCATTTTAGAACTTTTTAAACTTTGAGGGCATATTTGATACAAACTTAAAAGTTGAGGTACCAAATTAGTATTTTAACCATGACTTAATCATACAATAATTCTTGGTGAATTAGGTGAATGCATTGTCTTACGTTGACAGTGAAAAACAATGTCTAGAAGCATCCATATGTGAAAATTACATAATATCTGAGATCGCAAATTTTATCTTTCGTTACTTTGATGATGGAGTACACAGTGCAGTTAATCATCCCCCTAGGAATATTGTCGTTGGATTTGATGATAATAGTGGCCTATCCATCTTTAAATATGTTGGAAAACATATTGGTTTCAAAATTGGAAGATGTTACTTGATAGTAAAGGAACGCAAAGCTGCTTTGTATCATATGTTAATGAATTGTGAAGAATTGCAGGGATAGGTCAAGTAAAAAACCTAAACACTAATATCTTTAATTTGTTATTTTTAAGGTTCATTGAAATTAAAATACTAACAATATATAAAAAACTATTATCACATTTTCTAGTTTATTTGAGAAAGAACAATTTCAAAATATGAATCCTCAACAAATTCAAGCAAAATGAGAGAGAGACCTTGTGCCTTAATTTGAAAAAGCTGTGAATATTTAATAATATGACTATTCAATTCTTCAATATATGTTATTTATCTTCAAATGCATCTAACATTTTTTTCTCCAATCTATATATTTTAGGTAACTAGTGGTGAGTTCATTAATGTCCATGAGCATATCAAAGGTTTATCGAGTGGTCCAAAAAATTATGTTACCTGCTATAATGGATATATTGTTAATGGATTTCGTTTTCACACTACCCTCTATGGTAGATGTAATACCCCAAAATTTTGTGATATTTTAGCATTAAGTTAAGGACTAAATGTGGAAAAATATTGTTTTGGGATTGATAGCCAAAATATCCAAACTTGAGGGACTTAAAGAGGGAAAGTTTGGATAAGGATCAGCTATTTCTTTTCCTTCTTTCTTTCTTCTTCAGCCTGATTCTGCTCTTCATCTTCCTCCCGACTTTTGCCTCCCGACAAGCCCCTCCAAACCGCCGGCACCAGCCTTTGAGAAACCGGTAAGAAGCTTGATTTTTGCCTTCTTTTCTTGTTCAAGAACAAGATTTGGAGCCTTGAAACCTTCCCCCCTCTGCAGAATTTCCAGATCTGCTCGGTTTCTCCCCTCCCCTTTCCGTGAGCTGCAGCTTGTGGGTGTGATTTCTGGGCATTTTTCGGTAAGAATAGCCACGATTTCATCCTTTTAGCTTTGATTTAAGTTGGGTTACTCTAAGTTCCTCTTGTTCCTTCAATTTTGGGTGGTTCCTGTGAGTCCCCTACAGCTTGCCGCCGGCTTCTTCTCCCCCACCAGGTCCGGTTCTACTGGCTGGAAAATTCTGGTATGTTGACAGCTCCTCCAAGCTTGAATTTCATCAATTGTTGCTGAATTTTGTCCATTTATTTGCTGCCCTATTGTTGTCTGAAAATCTGCTGGAGAAATGGGGGAATTTCGGTAGCTTTAAGTGGGTTTTGTTTAATTTAAGTGTAAATTGCTTGAGTTGGCTGCTTTGAGATTTGTGGAGAAATTCCGTGAAATTAGCCATTGTTCTGTGAATTTTGGAAGTGCAGTAACTGTTCACGCGTACCAGTTACTGTTCACGCAGAAAATTCTGCAATTTGCTATTGTTTTCTGCTCCTTTTCAGTCCGTTTCTGCTTTGAAAAATCTGATGAAATATCCTTTTTTCTGGTCTTTTAGCTGGCAGTAGTTGAATTCTGCAAATATCAGTTACTGTTCACTGGCACTGTTCACGCACTAATGGCCAACAATTAACGGGGATTTAAATGTTTAGTTTGTAATATAAGAATAAATTTGAAGAGGTCCGGTCATGTGGAGATTGATAGAAATAGCATCGTGATTAGGGGTAGTGCTAATGATGATTTTACTTTGAAATTGCGGTAGTGCGGTATTAATTCTTGGATATTTTGATTAGGTTCCTAATCGTTTTGTCAGTTTAGCACTAAGATTGAGTCTTTAGTTTTATGCAAGTGAGGTAAGTAAATTTATGATAATGCCCGTACAGTTTTTAAAAGTATGTTTTGACTTGTTTTGGAAGTGGTGGCGGGATTAAACCCATTTTATACAAAAGTAAGTATGACTGATTTGAAGTGAAATTTTTATACTTTTCATTAAATTGAGCATGCCTATTTGAAATTTAATTGATTGTCCTGATGATTTGAAAGTGATTGGTGAATTATGATTTTTCTGTTAACTTCAGCTTGTTTTGTCTCCGATGTGGTCGTGTGATTAGTGACCCTGCTAGTGGGGGTTAAACGCTAGCACATGTCGACATGTTAGTGATAGAGCCGGTTCGTTCGAGTGACTCTGCTAGTGGGGATTATACACTAGTAAATCGTGTGCTTGCCAGTGGGAGGTTTATAACACTGGCCATGACCTATAGAGGAGACGTCTATTTCGTTTCCGTACTCGTGCCTGTTTTTTGTGATTATACTTGTTGGCATGCTATAAGTTAATTAAGGGCTATCCATATTTTACTTACTGAATTTATCTCATAGTTTTTCCTTATCCACCATTTCAAGAAGCGAAACCGAGGACGGGGAAACCATGAGAAGTGACGAGTTAGAAGGCTAGTCATTTCGAGATTGATATAGATTTTAGAAATAAATTATGATCTTGTAAACTCGACTTTATTGGAGATTTATAATATTATAGCAAATTATAAAATTTGATCTTCAGATTTTGATGGTATCAGATTGTGCATTGGATAAGTTCCGAGCCTTGTGCATTTGTGGAATCCTCTCATGAGTGTACGGTGGTTGTCGCGCCTTGGATTTGGGTTATGGGACGTGACAGTAGAAATAAGTGAACAATGAATTATGGTGTCTATCTTGTTGGATTTATTGGTACTGACTCAGATTATAATTTTTGTGGTGTACTTCAAGAAATAATTCAGATTGAGTACTATGAATCGATCAATTAACATGCAATTGTTTTATTCAAATGTGATTGGTATGGGATTCCTCCTACTTAAGGGGTTTAGGTGGATCAAAAACATTGATTGGTTGACATTAATCCCAAAATATACCTTCAATCTTATGAGCCTTTCATTCTTGCTAGTTAGACAAGATAAGTTTATTACACACCATATTCATTTATTAATCATGAAAGAAATGGATGGATTGCTGCACTTAAAATTAAGGCTAGGAGAATCATTGAGGCTCCAGAGAATGAAGATGACCAACAAGAAGGATTGGCACCATATTTCCAAGACAATGAGCCTTTTATTCCTCAACCAATAAATATTTATAACATTACTTATGAACTTGTGCAATATTCAAATAGGAGGTTTATTGAAATACATGAAGAAGTTGATGTTAGGGAAGAGATTGGAGAAGGGGAGGAAGAAGGGGAATGGGAAGATCTTGAGATAGCAGAAGAAGAAAACAAGAAAACATATGTTGAAGAGAATGATAGTAGTGATGAGTAGGCAATAATGTTTATAGAAACTTATTGTTATATTTAGGGTTAATATTTGCTTGTTTGTACTTTTATAATTATATTAGTTGTATTGTATGTTATTTAATTTAAACTTGTATAACATTATTGTTACTTTTAAGTTTATATTTGCTTGTTTATACTTCTGTAATTGTATTAGTTGAAACAAAATTTATACGTTTATATTTTGTTATTATTAATTATATATATTTTTTTGTTAATATTTATAAAATTAGTTTTATTTATATTAGTTATACTGTATGTTATTCAATTAAAAAGTAATTTGGTTACTATTTGCTTATCTATAGAAATTAAAAGTATTTTAATTTTTATTGTAATTTTGATAGTAATTTATTGCATTAAAATTATTTTATTATGATTTTTTATTTGTTATATTTTTTTACAATAGATTGTTGTAGTTCTCATTGCATGGAGACTATAGATTCCACCCAACTGCTACGACAGCTAAACCTGTTTGACCCCCAAAGGTGGGTTTAGGAGGAGGATCATGCTGATGTGATTCTAGAGACTCTAGCTTTACATGCTGATATACAGGCCAAAAGTCTTCCAATGATGAGTAGATAGATGTTGCTACCCCTTAGTAGAGACATGGACGGGGGCAAGCTAAGCCCCTGTAGATGCCCACAGATGGGTCCAAGATCCCATTAGAGCTAGTTGAGTATGGTGGTTAGCTGCAAATGATCAGATGACAGATTGTGTTTTAGTTGCGGGAGAATCTCCTCGATGCAGGTCCCTGTTGAGCATCGAGATATGTATTGGAATTTATTCTGTGTACACCCTTAACCCTTAATTTCTATCTACAAATTAGATCTTTTCAATTTCTATCTTCAAATTTTAAACTATTTGAATTCTTTTGGTTATTATCATTAATAATTTTTATTAAGTTAATTATTTTTTTATATTTCTATTTTCTTTAGCAAACATATGAATGAGACCTTGCAATTCACACAAAGGTGGAAAATTTATGGAAAATGATTGCGAATGTCAAATTCAAGCATGCACTTAGTGAGTTGAAAGTTAGGTGTGCAAAAAAAAAAACTTTCAAGTTAAGCCTCCAGATATAAATCCACATTTACGAGTGAGGTTTGCTCATTTATGGACTGAGGCAATGGAGTAAATTCATATGTTTAATTTTTAAAAATTTTAAATTATAATTCTTAATGTTTTTATCATATTACTAACGCAATATACGTGTTCACCAATTTTGTAGGACAAGGGTCATTTGAGAAGGTTAAATTTTGCAAGCGCAAATCGGGCACAAGGACCAAGGGTGACACACACCAACGGTTTAATGGACGTCAATGCTTACCAAAAGAAAATGGTATAAAAGCTAACATATTTTTAATAAATAATTAATGCACTATGATTTATAATTTATTTTATATTGGTTTTAATATTTGGTCTTCCTTACAACAATAGGCAAACCTTGAGGGTCATCCATTGACATTTCCTAAGTTCACCGGTAGAAGGCAACACAAACCAAAAGGAAAAGACCAACTACTTGTATATTGTAATAATGAGGCTCGAGAAATTGGCATAAGTATTTAATAATATGAATTATCAAATTTAAACTTGAATTTTGAATGGTTGAAGTTTATTGAATAGGAGAAACTATTGATTATATAATTCTTGTTGAATGTGGGTGTGTATTTGAGGTAGTTTGTTTGAGGAAATTCAAATGTAATCCTTTATTTGGTTAAAGGGTAAGGTGAATGGGTTTTATTATTTTTTATTTGAGTGGTGTAGCAACTTAAGAGTTTGTGTAGAAGTGACTTAGTGTTTTATGTGCTTGAGGATTTAATGGTCTGAACAAAGAGAATTTTGTTTTGTGAAGCAAATTTTGTAAACTTGGTGTGTATTTCTTGTTGAATATAATTCTTGTTGAATGTGGGTGTGTATTTCCTAGTTGATGATAATTTGTAATAAGGTGGATGTCTAATATTTAGGAGAATAGGATAAAGGTTAAAATTTCAAAGGGGACGTTGCATGTCTTTTGAGAAATTTTAATACGTGATTCTTTGTGATACTAGGATTTTTTTTTGTCTTCAAGTTTGTTGCTCATGTGAAATATTTTGATGAAGTTTGTCATGATGCATCTATTTTTCCTATGAGAGCTTTCTAAGGTAATTTGATTGAATGATGGATATTATTATATCTTCACTTGAATCTCCTTGGGTGAGGAGATTGAAACAAAATATGTTTAAAGGAGACTCTGCCAAATTTTTTTTAAAAATTGTGTTATAAATTAATTAAAATTATTTTAATTACAATATTGAAACTATTGTACTATATGGTTGTTGGTAAAAAGTTAAAAGTCCATCCTTTTAAGGGAGAGTAAATTGAATTTTATTGAATTTTTGTTTAATTTCCTAAACTGATATTTTAAATTTCACTTTAATTTTAAACACATTTTATCTTGTCTTATATGATTTTAAGAAAAATTGGTAGTCGAATATGTTGCCAAGCAAGAGGTAGAAGGTTTTGACCCCACAATAGCTCATGGTAAGTTATTAGTTAGGGCACTTGGTGGGATCAAGAGAGGATGGCTGAAAGGTCTAGACATTCACACATATCCGCAGGATGTAGGTGTGAGCACATCTAGATGGGAACCATCCAGGTCACCCATCATATGACAGTCTAGCAGGGTTGAGGAATTAGAGCAAACTATTCAAGCATTGAGTGTAGATGATGAAAGCCTTTGACATTCATAAATGACCCTTATGACAGATAATGAGAGCTTAGTATAGTCACAATTGACCCTTACTGCTTCTGTGCAGCAACTCTATTAGCATTCAAGGATGACCCTAAAAGATACAAGTGGCACTATTACCCCTCAGACACCATGGGATATGTAAGCCTTTTATATTTGCATTAAACATTTGTTTTTACTTTATATTTGCAGTAGACATTGGAGACTTATATATTTGTACTAAATGAACAAAATTTCCTTTCATTTTGTGTGATAAATACTATAAATTAGGTTAGAATATTTTCACACTGTTAATAGTTCACACATAATATTTCACTTTAAATATCGATTAAATCACTGTAGTAAAATGGGAAGAATTGCATGTGGCTAAACATATATTGTCTTTAGGAGGTTGGATTTAGGATATTGTCACGCCCCAAAACCCGAATTCGAGGCGTGACAGACGTCGTGCACTCATAAAAGAGTCTCACAAATGCACAAGACTCGGAACTTATCATATCACAATCTGATACCACAAAAATATGAAGATCAAATCTTTAAAATTTCTCCGATATTATAAATCTCCGAATACACTCTAGCTTACAAAATCACGATTTATTTCTAAAATCTATATCAATCTCGAAATGGTTAGCTTTCTAACTCGTCACTTCCCGTGGTTTCCACGTCCTCGGTTTCGCTTCCTAAAATGGTGGACAAGGAAAACTATGAGATAACTCAGTAAGTAAATATGGAGTGCCCTTAATTAAACTTATAGCATGCCAACATGTGCACTCACGAAAAACGGATACAATACGAGAACGAAATAGACGTCTCCTCTATAGGTCACGGCCAGCATCTAACACCCACTGGCAGGCGCACTGTTTGCTGGTGTATAATCCCCACAAGCAGGGTCACTGTTTGCTGGTGTATAACCCCCACTAGCAGGGTCACTCACGAACCGGTTTTATCAATAACATGTCGACATGTGCTAGCGTTTATAACCTCCCCCACTAGCAGGGTCACTAATAACATATTGACATGTGCCGACATGTGTTAGCGTTTAACTCCCACTAGCAGGATTACAGAAACATATCGACATGTGCTAACATGTGCTAGCGTTTATAAACTCCCCCACTAGCAGGGTCACTAATAACATGACCACATCGGAGACAAAACAGGCAAAGGTTAACAGAAAAATCATGCTTTACCAATCACTTTCAGATCATCAGAACAATCACTTAAATTTCCAAGTAGGCATGCTCAATTTAATGAAAACATCAAAATCTCATTTCAAATCAATCATGCTCATTTCTGTATAAAATGGGTTTAGTCCCGCCACCACTTCAAAAACAAATCAAAACATGCTTTTAAAAATTGTACGGGCATTACCATAAATTTACTTACCTCACTCGCATAAAACCGAGCACTCAATCTCAATGCTAACTGACAGAACGATCGGAAACCTAATCAAAATATTTCAAGAATTAATACCACTATAACAAATTCACACTGAAATCATCATTAGGATCATTCCTAATCACAATGCTATTTCCATAAATCTCCACATAATCAAATATCTCCAAATCGTTCTTATATCACAAACTAATCATTTAAATCCCCGTTAATTGTTGGCCCTCGGGGTGTGAACAGTAACCCGTGAACAGTAACCCGTGAACAGTAACCACGACGTGAACAGTAACTCCCACTTTCAAAAATTGGCCAAACCACTAGCTAATCATGGGGTTTTCTCTCCAAAAATCACACAGCAATCCATTAACACTCAATCACATAAATCCCACTTCAATTAATACTTAAACTTATCCTAAAGCTACTGGAATTATCCCCAATTTTTTGTCAAATTCGGACATCACACGGCAGCAAACTAATCAAGCTAATTCTACCTTAATCAAGCTTAAAAACAATGGTTTAAGGCTGCCACATACCATAATTCTCCAGCTGTAGAAACCGGAGCTGCAGGGGGAAGGCCGGCAGCATGTGCAGGGGAAGCTCACGGGAACTACCCAAAATTGAAGGAAATAAGAGCAATCAAAGTTAACCCAAGCCAATTCAAGCAAGAACAAAGGAAATTAGGGGCTGTTCTTACCGAAAAAATGCCCAGAAATCACCCATACCCACTAGCAGCCGGCGATGAAGACAAGCAGAGCAAGGCAGATCTGGAATTTCTAGCAAAGGCGAAAGATTTCTGGTTTCCAAGTCAGGTTCTTGGACAAGAAAGAAGGAGATATTCCAAGCTTTCTCACCAATTTTTCAAAGCTGGTGCCGGCGGCTTGGAGGGGGGATTTCGGGAGCTACAGTGAGAAGAAGAACAGCAGAATCGAGAAATGGCTGGGGAAGAAAAGAAGGAAAAAGAAAAAGAAAAGAAACTGATCCTTATCCAATTATTTTCCCTCTTTAAATCCCTCAAGTTTGGGAATGTTGGCTATTAAGCCCAAAACAATATTTTCTCACAATCAAGTCCCTAACTTAAATGATAAAATTCCTGAAAATTTGGGATATTACAGATATATAGACCGTTAGCAGTTTGTATAACATATAAGGACCGTTGATGGTTCACATAAATATATGGACCATTATTGGCTTGTATAATATATATGGACCGTCAACAATCCAAACATGATATACGGATCGATAATAGTCCATATATATTATATGGACCAATAATGGTTCATATATATTAAAGTTGACTTCCTTCCTCAAAGCTCCTGTTGCCATCGTTTAAACATAATTAAAATAATTATATTACTTAGGGTTAAATATCTAATTAAAGTATTTATTAATTTTAATTAACAATTAACATAAAATAAATAAAATTTTATAAATATAAAGTAGAAAATATTAACAAAATTTTAATAAAAAATACATAATATACAAAATATTATTATAGTATTTAATAAATTAATTTTAATAAAAAATAAATATAATTTAAAATGTCCTTAAATGAAAAAAATAAGAAAGTGTAAGAGGAGAAGCTTCTAGATTTTGAACACTATATTCGGATCGTTATTGGTTTAAATATGATGTCCAAAATCCACCTTTTTCACCCAATGCCTTAGACTGTGTCGGATTCGTTCCGCTCTCATTTGAACCACAAGATTCCAAATGCTTGCTTGCCAATGAGGCTAACGTTAATTGAATAATCTCAAGTCTCAGCATTTGTGGTTTCGCAATAGCATAGCCTAACCTTAAAGTTACTACCCGTACACTTACATGTTTGTGATTTTGCAAAGATGTGATCCCACACCACTGTTAGACAATTTCAGGTGAACAACCAATTGTTTTGAGGTTAGGGGGGACTGTAGTGTTGAAGTGTGCATAGTTGGCTTATGTAGGAATGGAATCAGGGCATGGAAGGTGGTGTTGTCTTTAAGTGAAAAGAATAAAAAAGTGTAAGAGGAAAAGCTTGTAGATTGTGGACACCATATTCAGACCAAAGACAGTCTGAATAAGCTATACGGACCATCACTAGTTTAAATATGTTGTTTAGAATCCACCTTTTTCACCCAATGCCTTATCCCGCACCCAATTTGTTCCGCTCTTGTTTGAACCACAGGATTCCAAATACTTGCATGCCAAAGAGGCTAACCTTAACTGAATACTCTCAAGCCTCTGCATTTATAGTTTCACAACGAAATGACCTAAACTTAAAGTTAATAACAATACACCTACACGTTTGTGATTTTGCAATGATGTGAGCCCACACCACCATTAGACAATTTCAGATGGACAACCAATGGTTCTAGTGCTGAAGTGCACACAACTGGCTTTCGTAAGAATGGAATCGTGGCATGGGAGGATGGTGATGTCCTTAAATGAAAAGAATAAAAAAGTGTAAGAGGAGAAGCTTCTAAATTCTAGATACCATATTTGGACCAATGACGGTCTGAATAGTCTATACGAATCATCATTGGTCCAAATATAATCCCATTCTAATCATTAAATCACTTTTAGATTTAGTGTGTTACATATTTAGATCAATTTCGGTCTATAAATTTGTGTCGCCAAAATTTTGCTAAAAAAAAATTAAATATTTTTGTTATGGGGTAGGGATTGGCACCCATTTACCTATTTTTAGACTGATTTTGGTCCGTATAAATCCTTTATATTAATAGCAACCCTCCTAACCTTTTCCTCAATTTTCTAATTTCTCTTCTTCCTTTCGTCCCTTTTTGTTGTTCTTGTTGTTTTCTTTCTATCCTCATCCTTCTCATTTCCTCTCTTCTTTCTCTCCTCCTTTTATTCTTCTTCCTCTTTTCTT